TGGGAAACTCCAAAAACTTGTATTAGAGATTAGAAGTTTTCTTGGGTTGGCAGATTGTTATTGGAATTCATTGAAGGATTTTTCCAAGTCATCTTTGCCATTGAAGCAATGGACTAAGAAGGTTCAAGCTTTTGTTTTGGGATGCAAAGTATGAATAAAAGTTGCAAGAGCTTTTGAGAAGACTGACAACAACTCAGGTTTGATTTTTTCGAATCCGACAGAACCATTGTGGTACATTGTGATACTTCGTTGATGGGATTGGGAGGTGTGTTAATGTAACATCAGCAAGTTTAGCTTATTCTCTAAGGAAACTTAAGGTACATAAGGGGAATTATCTGACGCATGATTTAAAGTTGGTTGTCGTTGTGTTTGTGCCGAAGCTTTGGAGGTATTATTTGTTTGGTTCGAGATTTGAGATGTTTAGTGATCATAAGAGTTTTGAGTATTTCTTTGATCAGGAAGAGTTGAATATGAGGCAAGGGTGAATGATTAGGACTTATGAAGGATCATGGTTTTGGGTTGAATTACCATTCGGGTAAAGCAGTCGTGGTAGCTGATGCATTGATTTGGAAATCTTTGCATATATCGATGACGATGGTAAAAGAGTTAGAACTGATTGAGCAATTTTATGATATGGGTTTGGTTTATGAAGAGACTTCTTATGAAGTTAAACTTAGTACGTTAGACCTTACTAGTGGTATTCTTGATGAGATTCGAGAAGGTCAGAAATCTGATTTGAGTTGGTAGGTCGGTTGAATTTGATGGATCAAAGTCGAAGAACTGATTTTCGGATTAATGGAAATGATATCATAAGATATCGTGATAGAGTTTATGTTCTAGATATTGTTAAGTGGAATAAGATTATTCTTGAAAAAGGACATTGAAGTAGACTGGGTATCCATCCTGGTGCTATGAAGAGGTACCCGGATTTGAGGAAATTGTTTTGGTGACCGGGGATGAAGAAAGAAGTGGTTGAGTTTGTATATGCTGGTTAGACTTGTCGAAAGTTGAAGATTGAACATTAGAGACTGTTGGGTCTGATTCAACCGTTGAATATTCCAGAGTGGAAATGGGATAGTAGTTCCATAGATTTTGTGTCGGGTTTGCCGAAGAATGTGAGAGGGATATGATTCAATTTGGGTGATTTTGGATAGATTGACTAGATCAACTCATTTTATACTAATGAGGATTAATCATTCTATGTTGAAGCTAGCTGAGATGTATATGGAGGAAGTTGTGAAGTTGTATGAGATATCATCGAATATTGTGTCAGATGGAAATCTGAGATTTACATCGAGATTTTAGGAGAGTTTACAGACGCTTTGGGTAACATGTTGAAGTTGAACTCTGCCTATCATCCGCGGACGGATGGACAAACAGAGAGAACTATCAAGTCTTTATAGGATTTGTTGAGAGCTTGTGTGTTGGATCAAGGTGGATCGGGGGATAGTTATTTGCCGTTGGTTAAGTTCACCTACGATGATAGACCGTGGACGCTGTCGAGGATTATTTTTGAAGTTTTAGAGTTGTTAGCCTTTTGGTTAACTCAGAGGGTCTTGCTCTGATATGTAACATCGGGTTGGGTTCTTTGAATTAAACTATATACCGTTGAGTTATTTTGCTTACCTTCCCGTATGAGGAAAACCTTGAGTTATGTTTTGAGTTCCGCTGCTTTGTACAATTTGATGTATTTTGAGAAAATCCGTTGTATACGGAGCATTGACTTATTTTGAGACATCGAAAAATGTACGTCCTTTTTGGTGGCTTTTTATGAAATTTAATAATTTACTCTGATATCTGTGTTATTTTGCCTTAATAATTATGGGGTAGAAAAGGGTGTTACAACCTGCACCGCCTCCCTTATAAACCTCTCGATGTAGTTCCTGAGGGGCTCATCGGGGGTCAGGATGATCGCGCCTAGCGCGGTCTCCGTCTTCGGATGGCGTCTGGACGTCGTGAAGTGCTTTGAAAATAGGTCCTTCAAGACCCTCCACGACGTGACGAATTTCGATTTCAGGCTCTTGTACCACGTCATAGCGTCTTTCCTCAGGTTCGTCGGGAAAAGCCTGCATTTGATGGCTCCTCGGACATTTCGGTAGGCACCAAATTAGGCACCAATTTTTTTTACCTCAAACTTTACCTCATTGTGCGAACAACTCGACAATTAACAATGGAAAAAACATGTATGATCTAGAAAATTTTCAATTGCATGAATACTCTAACAAGGAATATATGGCCAAATATTACATGTTTTAGATACCTAGAAGCTTAGAAGAATTTGAGATATATTTCATTCTTTAGTTGTTAACTTGGTATCATTCTCTTAGTTTTTTTTCCAATTTTGTAGGTACTTAAGTTGTCACATCTAGTATCTAATCTATTTCAAAATCAAACTATTATTTATCATTAGTAGAGCAAAAAAAATTATATAATTGTTGAATTTTAAACATCTAACAAGTTCATTAATAAGAAAATAAATACAATCTTGGTATTATGAATACTACTAATTAGTAGAGGCATAAAATTGATGTTATAAATGTGCCTTAAAACCTTTGTTGATGAAAAGAAAGAAAATATATTTTGGAGATTGTATTTATCGCGAAAATTAGAAGTTTTAGAAAGTAGGACAAAAAGTCGGGAAAAAAAATCGGCCAGTAAATAGTGTCGTCCGTACGGGTGAATAGTGTTATCTGTATGGATGAATAATGACGTTCGTACGATGAATAGTGTGTTCGTACGCTAAATAATGTTTTTGAGTTTTTAGACTTTTTTCGATGTGGTCCATGGATCCATGTGATTTGGGGTTTTGTTTGTTGGGTATTTGCTATTATAAATATGTATCTTTTATATACTTGGTGTGTGACAATCTTAGAGTTTTCACTAACAAGGGAGACCAATAGTTTAAATGTATAACAAAGGGTTTCAACTATGCACAAAGAAAACTTAGGGTTGTTCTTGAGCGCCTTCAGGGTTGTTCTTGGGAACCTGAAGGCGAATACTATTTTATTGTAACTCATCTGCAATCTCTTGTAATAACTTTTTGAGTATAGTGAATTGGAGAGTTGCTCTCTCCCTCAGAGTAGATGTTTTATCGAACTGGGAAAACAAACCTTCGATTTTTTCTTACCTTATTCTGTTATATTATCTGTGTGCGGATTATTATGGCTGAAGACCATTTATCTTGGTCGCTATTGTTCTTTGCCTCACAAATTGATATTGAATTTTATCGTAATTCACAACAAGTGGTGCGGTGAGCATGTAGCAAAGAGAATTTGTTGACAAGTGAGCACCATGGTTAGTAGATGGCAAATCGAGAAATTTTCCGGTAACAACGACTTCAGGTTGTGAAAAATTTAGATGCAAGCAATTTTAATTCAAGAGAAGTGTATCGATGCTTTAAAGAGTGAAACATTGATGCATGCAGGGCTTACACGGGTATAGAAGACCGAGGTGGTGGATAAGGCAAGAAGTATCATTATCTTGTGCCTCGGGGATAAAGTTCTAAGATAAGTTGCCAGGGAGCAAACTGTGGTTGCTATGTGGGTAAAACTTAAATAATTGTATATGACAAAGTCTTTGGCTCATAGGTTGTATCTAAAACAACAACTTTGTTCATTCCGAATGATGAAGAACAAATCTATAGTTGAGAAGCTCATAAAATTTCACAAGATTAACGATGATCTTGAGAATATTGAAGTGAAGATTGATGATAAGGACAAGACTTTGCTCTTGTTGAGTTCATTACCCATATCCTTGAGCACTTTAAGGATGCCCTTCTTTATGGTAAGAAAGGTATTATTACTTTGGATGAAGTCCAGATGGCGGTGAAATCCAAAGAATTTTCAAAGTCGAAAGATTTGAAGATTGAAGATAGTGGTGAAGACTTACATGTGTCAAGAGGAAGAGGTGGGCGTAAAGGGATGTCCAAATCAAAGAGGTCTGACAAGTCAAAGGTAAAATGTTTAATGGTCGTGAACTTCTTATTCACAATGTGAGGCATGTTCCAGAACTCAAGCGAAATTTATTATCTATAAGTATGTTTGATGATCTAGGCTATTGTATTAGAGTTGAACATGAAGTGTTGAAGATTTCGCGTGATGAATTGATTATTGCTAAAGGATCTAAAATATGTGGTCTATATATTTTACAAGGTTCAAATGTTATTATTCATTCATCGTTAACTTGTGGAGACTTTAGGTCATAAGAATAATGTGTTTAAATTAACTAGAAATTAGCTACAAATTTTAGATTTATTCATGATGTTGATCTTAGCGACAGCTTAGCGTCGAATTTTTCGTCTTTATAATTTTAATTAATATAAAAAAATAAAAATATAAGAAATTGTCACTTGACATCACGTCATCATTTTTTTATCTCGCTAACATTGTCACGTGTATGTCTAATCATAAAAAAAAAAGATCCACGTGTCATCCACATCAACATCCTTCATAAGCTTTTAACAATGATCAGTTATAAGGATGAAATTTTTTAGAAGAACCATTCTTTGAAGAAAACTTTTAGAGAGAATAATATTTAGAAGAACCAAAATCTTATTTAATCTAATATTTATTACATAAAATATTATTAATTTTAGTTTATTAATAATTAATTTATTAAATTAATAAAAAATTAATATATAATATTTTGTATTTTAATAATTTAAATTAAATTTTATCAATAACTTATTAATAAAATAATAAGGATCAATTCTTATTATAGATTATATTAGAGAAAAAGATTCCTCAGAAAGCTCCTAAAAGAAATCTTTTTGGTTTGATTGAGTTATGATATCAAAAAAACACAAAATATATTGTAATAAAGAAACGAATCAAAAGCCACAAGAAAAGGAAAAAAACTAGCCGTTGCCACCGGCTTCGCTCCTCTGTAATAATAACCTTATACTCTCTCTCTCCTCTTTCTCTCTAACACATTCATACACCTTCCATTATTTCTTCTCTCAGCTCAAAGAAGCTTCAAACTCTCTCTCTCTAAAACATAATATGTTCACTGAAGGTCTTGACGAAACCGCTATCCAATGGATCAATCGGGTTAGTAACTTTCATTCTGTTTCTTTTTTTATATGCCTACTAACTGTTTGATTAATTGTCTGCAATTTTTTCCTTCAAAAAAACAGGGATCAGAAGTACGAGTTGAAGATCTTGACCATCCAAGCATACGCGCTCCTTTAGCTGACAAGTTAATACTTCCAAGGTCATCTCTTTCGGCCACTGTTTCCAATAATCTCACTCCAAAGTCTCCTTCTTTGCCTCCTTTGAAGTTTCATTCGTCTTTGCTACCAACCCGTAACCTCCCCTTCGGATTTAGTGATCGCCATGTAAGTGATGATGATGAAAGTGTGGCATCATTGTCGTGTCCGACTGTTGAGAGTGATGATGATTATGATGATGATGAAGAAAGAGTTATTGATTCTTTGAACACTCCGATTGAGCAGTGTTATGATGAGGATCGATTGTTTGGATTTGGTAGTGGAACCAAGCTTAAATCTTTAAAACCCAGTGGAATTTTGAGGAGGGGTTTGGTTAATGAAAATATAACTATTCAAGTTCCAAATAGTGTTAGTGCTAGAAGATTTACTGATGGAGAATTGGGTTTCAATAAATGTGTTCAAAAGCAAATGACTCCATGTGGAAGTGGAAGTGGAAGTGGAAGTGGAAGTGGAAGTGGAAGTGGAAGTGTAAGTGGAAGTAGAGGTGGAAGTGGAATTGGAACAGGAGGAGGAAGTGTTCGGTTTCGGACTATGAGTAATTTGAATGATCTGGTTGATTTGGCTACTCCGAGTGCTCCTCCTATTTTCAATGGTGAAGTTGATCTTCCTTATTCAGAAGGCTCTGTGACTAATGAAGTGGATGAAACGACTCAGCCGCATAGGTCTTGGACTTCCAGAGATTCTGTGAATTGTGATGATGGAGGAAGAAGTGAGTGTTCAATTGAACAAAAATATAGTAATGTTGCTGAAAGGTACTACTATAGCGCAATTAATTAATTCCTCTTCTTTTTGTTTGCTTTTGTTGCTTTCCTTTTTGGAATTTCTTTCCTTATTGAATGCAGTGAATGACATTCTGATGTTGAATTGTGCAGACAGGAGACAACTTCTACAGGAGACATAGAAAGGCAGCCTCTTCCACACTTACAATATCTCAACAACAGGTGCTGTCACGTAAACTTTTAAATTTCTATTTTTATGCAACAATTATCACAGAGCACTTGTTATTGATAAGTGATAACTTTAACTTAGTGCATTTTGGTAAAACTTAGTATGAGATCAACAAATACGAACAACACAATTATCAATTCAAATGTCTTGAGTCTGAGATTTAATCTACATTCATGTTATCATTTTGAAAATTAAATTAATATCCTTTTTTCCTTTGATGGCATGTCATCTCAGCAGTTGCAATAGTCAACATGCCTGGCAAACCCTTATCACTTATGACGCCTGCATTCGTCTATGCCTGCAAGCATGGGCAAGAGGCTGTGCCGAGGCCCCGGAGTTTCTTAAAGATGAGTGTATGGCTCTTCGAAGTGCCTTTGGGTAGGTTTTGTTTGGTTGTACAAAAAACACTTCCTTAGCTTCTTCTTATTATGCTCAATCGTTTCTATAATTTTGTAGATTGCATGAGTTTTTGTTGCAACCTCGAGGTATAAAGCCAACTGAAGGATGTACAAGGAATTCAGAACAAACAGTACCTCTCAAGACTAAGAAGGTTGTAGGGAAAATAAGAGTGGAAGGTAACCTTATACATTGTAAATATTTTACTTTTGTACATTGATGTAGAAAATGGCATATGTTTGGTTAGTTTTTTAGTTACACATATGAAATATGACTAATATAATTATGACAGTGTTTGAAACCTGGTTGGACACAGTATGAAATATGACTAATATAATTATGGCAGTGTCTGAAACCTGCTTGGACACATTTTATAATCACTAAATTTGAGGTATCATGTGAAACTTGCAGTAAAGAAACTTCGTATTATACAAAGACGAAAACTAAAGGGCACATTTTCAAACCGAGGATCAATGTATAAGCAAGCTGGAATGGATTATGTCCGGCAAGTTTCATCCCTTGTGAAAAGCGGTATTAATTCTGTGAAGTCATCATCATCATTCTCAGTGACAACAGAAGGTTAGTGCATTGAGCTTTTTAATTTTGTTTATAAAGGTTAATCCTGCTATTGCGTATATATAAATGAGTTTAAGGAATCTGTGCTATTCTTGTAGAGCCAATGTATTGTTTGATCCAACTCAAGAGTGCAACAGAAGAAAATGCATCAGAGTCGTGTTCTGCAATTTTTCTTCGCCCTGGAAGTGGAGATTATCATGATTTGTAAGTTTCATCTTCCACTTCATAATTTTATGTTATTACTAGGAAAGCTACTTGTAACTGATCTGCTGTTAGGTGGTTAGAGACATGTGGAAATACATCAAGATTTACAGTCTTTAGACTATTGTTGAAGGAACTTTACGCGAGGAGCAATTCTTAACAGTTGAAATTCACATTATTCATTAAGTTCCAATATTTCTTACTTGTAGAAATACACTTAATGTTGTTGATAATCTCAAGGATCTAATGACTGTCATATAATTTCAGTCTTTAGACTTTTGTTGAAGGAACTTTACGCGAGGAACAATTCTTAACAGTTGAAACTCACATTATTCATTAAGTTCCAGTGTTTCTTACTTGTAGAAATACATTTAATGTTGTTGATAATCTCAAGGATCTAATAACTGTCGTATAATTTCAGTTTACCCTTGAGTCAAGGGGATGCCTTACTCTTAGAAGTCCAAGATTCTAAGAAGGCAATCTATGGTGAAGCAAGAATTCCAATTTCATACCTCAATGACAATCCTGTATGTTTTCCGCTGCCATATTTGTTCATAAAAATTACTCCTCTTTCCTCTTATATAATCCAAATTCATGTAATAATTATGTTGAATCACATATGCAGAGTGACAAAATTCGGTGGTGGCCAATAAATCACGATGACAATGAATGTGTTGGCAAGATCCAGCTCTCCATTGGAAGTACAATGACAAGTGATGACAACAATCATATAAAGGTTATACTAATATCAAAATTTACTTCAGTTCAATAAGTCTTGGTGTAACCAAGAATTTTTTTTCTAGTTTGTAAATATAAGAAAATCTTCCAAGTTGACTATCGGATAAAGACTGACATTGTATCAAGTACTATAGATGAAACGTATCCTCTTTCTATTCATTATAAGTCTGAGCATATTCGATCTTGTCATTTTTCCTGTTTTTAAAAATTTTGCAGAGTGGCCCTGTCGTGGAAACTCAAGCTTATGATATATTGTTGGAAGGTGCGATGCATGCACAGCGTTTCCACTCCCGAAACTTGCGGCTTAATGGGCCGTGGAAATGGTTGTTAGATGCATTTGCGGACTATTATGGAGTTTCTAATTCATATTCTAAATTGAGGTAACTGAATGTCATTTGGATTCCCTGACAGAGATCAGTTTTATGAACATTCTTCACACACATAAAATTTCTTTTGATTTTTGAACCTTCACTTACCTTGTAGTGGTCTTCTTGCAGATATCTATCACAGGTGATGAATCTTGCAACTCCAACCAAGGACTGCCTAGAGCTTGTTAAAGAGTTGCTTGATCCCTTAATGAAGGCCAGAAGTGAGAGGAGTCTGACCAGGCAAGAGGTAACTTCTCAAACTTATACTTCAGTTTACTTAATTTCATGTTGTTCATGCTTTCCTTTTATTTAACATGTTATTACAATGGGATTGAGTTAGAAATTAGAGTAGACAATCCTATACTTGTGCTCTGCAGTTAGATGTAGGAATCAGTTGGAGAACATTTGAAGAAGTTAAGTAGTTATATTTGATAAAAATAAGAGGAAGCGCATTCTGTAATATTTGGCAGTTTGAAAGTTTGTGACAGGAGAAATCCTTTGTAGAAGTGGAAATAGTTGGAGTTTCACCTCATGTTCCTTCTGTCATCCAATAAAATTGTTATTTCTTCTTGTTTGTTTCTATTGATTTTCGCTCTTGATTTCTCAACTAAGTTAGCACATGACAGACACTAAAGAAACATGACAGAAATGAAAAACTTGAGAAAATGTTCTTTGAATAACTGTTGTTTCTCTTATTTTCCATCTCAGATCTAATTTAATGTTTGGAATTAGCCAGTTAGATGTAGGAATCAGTTGGAGAACATTTGAAGAAGTTAAGTAGTTATATTTGATAAAAATAAGAGGAAGCGCATTCTGTAATATTTGGCAGTTTGAAAGTTTGTGACAGGAGAAATCCTTTGTAGAAGTGGAAATAGTTGGAGTTTCACCTCATGTTCCTTCTGTCATCCAATAAAATTGTTATTTCTTCTTGTTTGTTTCTATTGATTTTCGCTCTTGATTTCTCAACTAAGTTAGCACATGACAGACACTAAAGAAACATGACAGAAATGAAAAACTTGAGAAAATGTTCTTTGAATAACTGATGTTTCTCTTATTTTCCATCTCAGATCTAATTTAATGTTTGGAATTAGCTTGTTGTGGTTAACAATTCCTCTACTTGTTTGTTCTCACAGAGAAGTATACTTTTGGATTGTGAAACTCAAATTGAAAGACTACTAGCGACTGTTTTTGAGAATTACAAATCTCTCGATGAAAACTTGCCAACGGGTCTAACCGATCATTTTGGTCCAGCATCTGACTCTGCAGCACCAGCTCTACATCCTGCTTTACAGGTCTTCAGTAGTCTTCATGATATACTATCTCCAGATGCTCAAACTATTCTACAGAACTATTTGCAGGTAATTATATAGTCATTATGCTGATAAAACTAATTATATAGTCATTATGCTGATAAAACTATTTAGGGATACCTTCTAATGATTATGAGGTTTAGAAAAATATTAAAATTACATTTCATATGACCTCATAAAGTCTTTCTAGATCATTCCTGCAACAACACCATTATGAAATTTTTTGTTTTGAAATCTAAATTAAGTGGTTAATATTGACAGACCGCAGCAAGAAAAAGGTGTAGAAAACACATGATGGAGACCGATGAATTTATGTCGGGTGCTTCTGAAAGTTACCAATTGGACACCATTACTATCTCAACGGCATACCTGAAAATGAAAAATCTGTGTATTTCTATAAGGAATGAAATTCAGGCAGACATAAAGATCAACAGTCATAATACAATCCACGGTCAACATATTTTTCCCAGGTATTTAGCTATAATTCTACATTATATCTCTTCTTTGCAAGTAGACAATACAGTTTAACAGTCATGCAAAATTAGTTTTTCTACACTAGGAGATGCAGTTAGTCTGTGTAAAGTTTCACAAGAATTTTCACTTTTAAAGTTTCTCTAGGTTTTAGTTTCTTCATGTTTCTAACAGTTTTTTTTTTGTTATCAGTGCCATTTCTTAGTGTTTTTCTACTCAAATCTTTAGCTTCTTTTTGCTTCATACATATTAATTTTGATTACATTCTGAGATCAACTATTCAATTTTTAGTTCAATTGACCTGGCAAAGATCACAGCAGCCATATACAGCACAGTACTTTGTAAAAGGCTAAGAACTTTCCTGTCTGCATGGCCACCATCAAGTCCACAGGCACATGTGAATGAGCTTCTGGTGGCAACTGCTGACTTTGAACGAGATCTCGAGTCATGGAATATAAGGTTTGCCTGGCAATGAGAACTTCTCCCCCTTGCACCACTATATTCAGCACAAAAACTTTAGATTCCACAAGATAACCATGTCATTTCTTTTCAGTTCTGTGCAGGGAGGTGTAGACTCCAGAAATCTGTTCCACAACTACATCATGGTATGGATACAGGATATGCAACTTAATTTGCTCGATCTTTGTAAAGCAGAAAAGGTAGTCGAATCATTATATTAGTTAATTCTATCTATAAAACACTTAATTGACCTTTCCTTAATAAAATCAAATGACACAGGTTCCATGGGCTGGAGTAACAACAAACCATTCCACCTCCCCATTTGCCGAGAAAATGTATGAAGACATTAAAGACAACCTAATCCAATATGAAGTAGTAATCAATAGATGGCCTCAATACTCATTGTATTTGGAAAATGTAAGACCTAAATCATGTCTTTGTGCGTTTAAGATCCTTTTTTCATTGTAATGTATTTTTTCCTCTCATATACGTTTAATTACATTTCCATTCTATAAAACTTATATAAATAGCAGTATCTTGACTTTGTATTTTTCCTTTTTTCTTTCTGTGGAAGGCTGTTGCAAATATTGAAAGGGCAATTGTGAAATCACTTGAAAAACAATATAGCGACATCTTAACTCCTTTGAAAGATAGCATACCAAAGAGACTTCACTTGCAAGTTCAAAAGCTAGCAAGAAGACAATCGGCTACTGTTCAATTGGTTCCTAACCAAGTAAGTTATGTGCATTCATGCTTCTTATATATTTTGGTTGCTTCTATCTATAACGTGTTTGCTTACTGATAAATTTTCTTGCATTTGATATTTCTATGTCCAGTTAGGAATATTCTTGAACACCATCAAGCGGATTCTTGATGTCCTTCATTGTAGAGTGGAAGACATCCTAAATTCATGGGCATCCTGTCTACCTGTCATGGGAGACAAGAAGTTGTTTGGAGAGCAAATGAATGGAATAACCGTCCTATTGCGAACCAGATACAAAACTTATTTGCAAGCAATAATAGGGAATATTGTCAACAATGTAAGAAACTCACTGAGACTCCACTTTTCTATGTTATAACTCTATGTCCTTGTATAAAACACTATTTCTATACCATAAAAAACATTTTGAATTGGTCAGGTTCAAGGTAATAAGAGCACGCGTCTGAAAAAGATACTTGAGGAAACAAGAGAAGCAGATGGAGAAGCAGACGTTCGTGAAAGAATGCAGTTGTTGAATTCACAGCTCATTGACTTCATCTCCAACCTTCACGAGGTCTTTACCAGCCAAATTTTCATAGCAACATGCCGTGGATTATGGGATAGAATGGGACAGGTGAGGCCAACTACAAGTCTACAACTATTGTGTTTACTTTATCGTTGGCTCCAACCTTTTCCTCGGGTCTAATATAAATTATTTTGGTTATATGCTAGATTATTTTGAAATTTCTAGAAGGGAGGAAAGAAAATAGAATATGGTACAACGGATCTTGCTACGCTCTTGGGGTAAGTGAAGATTAGAATCAACTTATGCTGTCTTTTTTTCTTGTGTTCTTGCTTGTAATAATCAATAACAAAGGTTCTTGATTGATTCTTCTTTCACTTTGTAGATATTGGATGACACATTTGCTTCCCAGATGCAAAGGTTAAGAGGAAATGCATTGCAAGAGAAAGATATTGAGCCTCCTCGCTCGGTGATTGAAGCCAGGTCAATTCTGTGTAAAGACACAACTAATGCAACTGATCAATCTTCTTACTTCTATATATAGTTAACAATTTTTTACAAAAGAAAACTTCATATTATTTATGCATATAAAAGTAATAATTAATGTACTCTAATTGTATTCTAATTATATTTAAATATTCTTTTGTGTGAAAAGGTGCTCAAAGACATAAATGTAATAAATAATGTACAACTATTCTAATATATATATTTCAATATTCTTTTGTGTGAAAAGGGGCTCTAAGACATTTATTGCTTCTTACTTCTACATATAGTTAACAATTTTTTACAAAAGAAAACTTCATATTATTTATGCATATAAAAGTAATTATTAATGTACTCTAATTGTATTCTAATTATATTTAAATATTCTTTTGTGTGAAAAGGTGCTCAAAGACATAAATGTAATAAATTATGTACAACTATTCTAATATAAATATTTCAATATTCTTTTGTGTGAAAAGGGACTCTAAGACATTTATTGCTCTAAGACACTTATATACCTGAATGTTTGATAGGCTTGATTATATATTATTTATTTTCTAAATATATATTGAATATTTTATAAGTAGAAAAAATGTAACATTAAAAAGATGTGGTAATTTATATGTGCAACTAGAATATAATGAAATCATTATTAAAGAATTTTGGTTTAGTGTTGAATCAAATCTATTTTTATTTTACAAACAATTTTTCATAAAAAATAATTTTATAAAATAAATTATAATTTTTCATTCTTATATAAATTAAGAGTAATGCTAACTAAGAGCACAAATTAAGAGTTGAATGTGAAAACTTTTTATTAGAAATTGTGTATTAATTTTATTAAAAATTTATAATTTATTATTGTTATTGCCTTTTTAAACACAAACTTTTTATTAGTGTTTCTTAACATGTGTCCAGTTAACATCACCCTAATACGTAAAAATGTGGAAAACTTGCCATTTAGTTTTTTATACTCTAACCAAAATAACTATTGTCAAATAAATTCATAATACATTTAAGAGGATAATGAAAGTTGCATCAGAGTCCTTAAGATGTATGTTTCTTTTCCATTGCTAGCCTGAATCATGTATGGTTATTTCAATTAGCTGCAAGCTTTTTGTTTCTGGCATTTTTTCAACATATGTCGCCCTGTCTTAGCACGAGGTCTCCAGCTTGGAATTCTTGTCATACAAGTTTGTTGTACCGTGGAACGGTAGCATGCTTGATGACGCTTGCTGGGAGGTGGATTCCTTTGTCTTTTTGTCTTTTTGGTAGAATAATGATGTAAGTATTAGTCTTTTTGTCCTTTTGGTAGGTCGGATCCGTGTGATCACCTTGATTTGTAATTCTGTTTTTGAATTAATATATATTCTTTGATTCAAAAAAATGATCTTTTTGCACTAAGTTTGGCCACTTAGAACCACTTTGTTATAATAAACTAATAAGGTCCAAAGTTAATAATTCTAGACCTCTTAGAGACACTAACGCACTAAAACCCAAAAAAATTTGGGTACTAAAGGTGAAAACCTAATTTGATTTGTGAGAATGTTTTACAACTTTAATGGAGTCTTAGTGTAAATTAAATGAAGTTGTGAAAAGTAAGTGTATATCTTTGAGTATAAAAGAGAAGGTCTTTCATGGTGGCATTTGATGATTCAGGTACTTGTGATCAATCATGTTTGTTGATGGTTATTTTCAATGGAAATGATCAAGGTGTTCTCATTGTGGCTCTTGCTCAATAATTTATGGCGATATGTGAGGATCATGTAACTTATTAGAAGGTTGAGGTGTTTAGTCTGTAATAGATTTATCAACCTTATGGTTTGAATTAACTCTTTGATCAAACGATTCACAAATAAGTATTTACGACTATGGTTTGTCTCTACCTCAAAAGGGGGAGCTTACTTAATTGAAATTATCTTCACTAATTTTTGTTTGAGTTTTAATCCTTTTTGGAGAAAAGAATGCAAAAATTGAAGACATGGGTGCCAACTGCCAAATCAAAAATATCAAAGCTCAATCTGAATCCAACGCCCAAAAGATCAAGAATGATGAAAAAGCAGCAAATTATCTATTTTACTTAATGGAGTTATCAATTATAAGCTTTGGAATTTCAAATTTTGCGTGCTCTAATTGATTAGCTCTAAATTGATAGTCGATTTATAACATTGGAAACAGCAAGTCGCCCACTTCTCAACTGCCAACTGATTGCATTAAACGAATAATTGACTATCAGACCCTTCTAATCGATTTTTTTCTATTTAAAGGTATTCCTCTCCTTTTTCTCATATTGTTCTAATTTCTTCTATCATATTCCATTTGTGAGTGTTAAAGCAAAAAAATCTTCTCTTTCTCTTCATCATCATCAATGGCACCAAAGAGATCTCACACATACGGAGGCTCCACCTCATACTACTTAGAATTCTTTTATGCCCAAGATCAAGAAGATCAGTTCAACCGAAATTTTAAATTAAGGGAGATCTTTAATTCACACCACTTGGAAGAAATGATTTTTAGGGATTGTTCATCTGTCCAACTATTTGTTGATGCATAGTTGAAGAACTTCATCTATGACATCCCCAGTGAAATATTTCCTACATTGGTGAGAATATATTACTCAAACCTCAACTATGTATATGAGGTTATTACTTCTAAAGTCAAGAAACACCATATTTGATTGCCTCTTGAAGAGTTCACATGCACCTGCAACCTCTTATGCACTGGCTCCAACTATGATGATGAAGAAGAAGGTAACAATTTTGATTTTTTTGTCTACTTCTACCTCTTTCCTATTAGATTTAAACTCTGGTATTCCTGCTCTCTTTATTGTTGGCATAATGCACCCGGATATTCATTTGATTCATTATATGGTCTGCTATGTTCTTTCCAAAGGAAAAACAACTTTAGTTACTTAACCAAAGTTAATGTTGTTGTGGTATGGTTTTTGGAAAATAGAGTTGAAAAGAAATTGGCTAATGCAATGATCCATTGTATGATAGGGAGCAAAAACAAAAATATAAGTTTACCATATAGTGGACTGATAACGAATATCCTGAAGCATGTTGGCTTCCATTTAGAGGAGGAAGAATCAGATCATAAATACTCAAGAAAAGGAAACAACGCCTTAAGCCTGGCAAGGGTAACAATCAACAATGGAGTACCAGTTCAACTACCTCCAAAGGCAATAAGAAGAAGAGTGTAACGCCCTAAACTTCAAACATTTATTTTATAAAAACATGCGGATAGTTTACTCAAAAACAGGGTGTCTCATTTTCTCAGCATAAACATCTTTCTCTAAAATCACAAAATAGCAACATAAATAAATACTAACAACTTGACATTAACTGTCTCATAAATAAAATCAACTTTATTTCAAACCATAAAAGAAATAGTTCAATATCTCTCAGAACACAATATAGAAAGGTAACTTACCCCAGTGTTACACTATCAGAGTGACACGTGGAAACTAAAATAACTCAAAAGCGATAAATGATGAAGAATGTCACTAAGCCATCCTCCAAAAACACAATAGCAGCTAAGGCTCTTCTACCTGAGTATCTGCATCATATGCATAAAGAACAACACAGACAAAGAAACAATTGTGAGAATACATTAACATGTTAATGATGCATAAAACAACAAGGATGGTACAATTAATATCAACCATCAATCAAATAAGTCATCCATAACAATAATTAATCACGAATATGGCTATGTATATAATGTATTCATGTCCTGTATTTCAATGCATGTGGTACTGTTAAGTGCAAAATATGACTTAAATTGAACCATCTTTCTTGGAATTTTTCAACTCATTTATCATGTTTTAATGGATTTATTTCATGTTCTTGTGTGATTCTTCAACTTATTTCAAAAACATTTAGATTCTTTAATTTGTGTATTATTGTACAGAATATAGACATAAAATGCCAATGCTTATGACACAAATTATTGGACAAGGAAGCCAAAGCCATGAAGAAGAAGCATTAAGATCACTTTTGTGACTAATAGACGGCAATTTGCACTTAGCGCGGGTTCAACGCCATTTTGGACCAGAGGCAGTAGCTGAGGGTTTCAGACCGCGCTTAGCGCTCTCTCTTTGTTTTTGCAACCTTTGAACTGGTCGCGCTAAGCGGGCTCTGCCGGCGCTTAGCTTAGTGCCACTTATAAGCACTTTTGTAATTTTTATATAAGGGGACTTACTAGATATTTTAAGACACAATTGGTATTTTTCAGAATATATCTTTATCTCTCCTCATTCCAAACTTTCTTTTAGAGAGAGAAATAAAACCCTAAGAGGGAGAAGGCAAAATCAAAGGAAATCAGAGCTTGCTCTTCGAGTAAGTAGCTTTGATCTCTTGTTGAGTTTTGATGTAATCTTTTGATACCTTATGTATTTCATCTAATATATATTTTTGAACTAGTTTTAATTTAGTATTGGTATTGTCTTTGATTTCTTATTTGTGGGTCTTGACAAAACCCTTTTCAAATCTTAGATCTTAGATATTCATCTATCAATGAGCAAACTTTTGACATTGTCTTGTAAGTTGATATTCACTTGTATTTTATATTTTATTGTATTAATTAATAGCATGAGCATGACCATTACGGTATTATAAGTATGCGTGATACTAGCGATGAAGAACTATGATCACTTGCATTTGGAAAATTAGTTGAACGCATGTAAAAAGGATTAAGCGTATGTACGTATTATAATCATGGTATTTTATATGAAGCAATCATTTATCTGATATGGGTGTCATCTTTATTTATCTGTTTATCTTTGATTTGAACCCCTATAGAAATATACTCTTCAGATCTACATCTAGGATAATTATTTGTTAGTTTTTAGACTTTAGACATAGATTTAGGCTTAGCATTTGCTTGAGTTTCAGTCTTAATTCTCTATGTTGTTGAGTTGCATGAGACATCACCAATGAGACAATACGGTTGTTCTCTTAATGTTGTGTTAGACATGACCTCTGTTGTGGGTGATACATGAGGATATTAGACGAATAATTGATTTGTGTTTAACTGGTTAGAAGACTGCATGAGTTATCA